TTTTATTTTGCAGTTTGGGGGGGCGGTGGCTATGGCAACGTCCTCTGCTGCCCGCAGATAAACGGAGAAGGAAGTGACGCGCCACCATCAGCGTCAGCCTGAAGAAGCCGGCAGCTGTCGGCGAAACCGTAGCTACAAACAGGTAAACAAAACTGTTTCTGTGTTTAAAAAAGAACGAAAGCATGGATTTACAAAGACACAGCAAGAACACACCTAAGTTGATCTTGTATTATTGTTGTGTCCCATTTTTTTTCTTCTCTCCTTCTGCAGGTCTAGAAGCAGACTCTTGTTCATTATTGTTTATTTTTGTGGAAACCCCCCCCCCCCCCCCCCCCCTTGTCTTTTCCTTTCTCTTTCACCTCTGACTCCGTGTCTGGTCGGAATTACAAAGCATTAAAAAACAGGAACAATAAAGTTTTAAGTATCAGGCGTGACATTAAAAGCAGACGCTTTGATGCTCCACCTGAGAGTAAATCTGTAAGGCTTGTTACCAGCATTCAGACATCAATTCTGTTTGCTTCACAGCCAGACAGGACACGGGGAAAAAAAAAATCATATTTCAGGAAAACTGCTTCTACCCCACCTTTGTTAAAGAAAACAAAACAAAAATTAGATCTTTCTGTGAGTGACATAAATCATTAATATCTGTAAATCCTTAAATCTCGCTGGGGACAAAGTCACAACGTGAGTGACGATGAGCTAAAGCCAATAAATCTCAGAACCGCTGAGACGATGACACACCTAACCCTTTTCTGAAAGTTTTAAGTTGCCTAACACACAGCAGGAGTCACACGCAGCTATATTCAGGTGGTCGGATAATCCAACACTAGCCCATTAAAGATTCGTATAGATTTTAAACTCGTTAATCTAAAAGGTTTATGACAAAATGACTAAACTAAGGAACACACACAAGATAAGAAGTCAACTGAAAAACAAGAAGGAAAAATAAATGCCATTAAGGTCGGTCATTTCAAACATAAATATGTAAAAATCCTAATGAAAATATTACATATAAACACACAATCCAGTTAGCAAGCAAAAACAGAGTGGACCGAGAGTCCACTAGTGCATGCAAATATGCAGATGACAACAAAAGTGGCACCCAGCCACAACAAATTCCCACTGGTGTATACACACACACACACACAGGAGAACTGCCACACTCGCTGGCAAGTGTGACGGATGACTCTATCTACAGCGTTACATGCCACGAGGGCCAGAGGGTGTGTGATCGGAGCCGCGTCCTCGGGCTTTATCCGACAATGAAACAGGAAGGATGGATGTTGCGTGAGGACAAAAATAGCACGCCCGCTACACGTCTGAAAAACAAATACAGCGGGGCAGGACATCTTTGGATAAGTAGAACAAACGTGAATGACGAGCCAGGTTTCTCACTGAGAGGAAATGATTGAATTGCTGGAAAATTGCCTGCCGTTATGCATTTCAGTCCATGGTTTTACCATCTGAATGTTGACAATATGAATGAAAACAAACGAAACAGGTCTTATTAGATGTTTCAGATACTTTATAGCTACTGTCTGTTTTTCCTATCTGGATACAGGGAGTAAATAAGCAGTTAGATCACATGTATTGACGTAATTCACATAGATATGAAGTCGCATCACTTCAATAGTATTTTATTTTGAAAATTACCAGAGGTTTTTACACTGAAATCGTGTGTGATTTCCTGTCTCACCCAATGTTAACTGCGGGAATTATCATGTCCCGGAAGTGGCTGGCGGCAAAAATAGAACCCGATCCAATCTTTAGCGGTGCTGCGACCCCCCCCCCCCCCCCCCCCCCCCCCCGACTCTAATGGATTCTATTTGAAGCAGTGACGTCCCGCTGCTGTTCTGCACCGCTGATGCTTCCAGTGTGAAGTAGGGGTTACGTTGCTGCGTGGGGATTTTCGCCCATTTATGTGGGATTCGGCCACATAGGAAGATCGACCTGACAAATGTGTAAGTACAGCATTTCAATCTGATTTTAGTAAAAATGTTTACTAGGTCACTCTAAAACCTTCATTCCTATTATAAACCAATGAGGAATGGCAGTACCAACATTTCCTCCTATAATTTCTGTTCAGCTACTGTATTACGTATCATTTTTCTTTTCTAATCCATAATCAGTTCCATGTATACAGTGATCCTTTGTTTATTGCGGTAGATGCGTTCCAGACCTGGCCGCGATAGGTGAAAATCCGCGAAGTAGGGACACCATATTTACAGTACAGTACTATATTGAATTATCGTATGATCACATTCTCTTTTTGTGGGTAAAACTCAAGAAAAAAAAGTTTACTTGGTTTTTTTATAGTTTTATTACAAAAAGTGCATTTTATGATGAAATTGATGAAAAAAACAGGAATTTCTTGATATTTCGCATAGAAAAATGCCGCAAATCGGTGAAAAAAACAGCAAATCGGCGAATTTCCCTTGGATAAGGCTCCAAAGAAAAAATCCGCATAGTCGTGAATCCGCGATAAACGAATCGCGAAGTAGCGAGGGATCACTGTACTTCTTCCACATAGAAAAGTTAAATCTGTTCAACATAGAAGCTTTCAGCAGGTTTTCTTTGTTTACTGCATGCCACAAGGCTGCTTCGAAAGCCTCACACACCTCGATACAAGCACTCAAGCTAACGATAACATGACTCAGCTGCAAGCAGAGCACGTCAGATGTTGTGCTGTTGGCTTCAAAGGCGTAAACAATAGTCTCCAGGCAATCCTGCCATCAGAAGAACTGAAACCCCTTTGGATGAGTTTTGTTTTAAAATAAATGTTCCACCACAGAGAGGAAAGTCTTTATATTGGCATGATGTGCAACTAAAGCGGCCCACGGGCCAGAGCTCTGCAGAAGCTGTGCTGCTCAGAGACAGAAATTTAGGAAGCTTTAATTCACAGTCACTAAAAGTACTTTTGTGTTTTCCCCATTATCAGAAACTGCTGGTTCATTTGTTGAAGTCAGAATTCCATTCGTGTTTTCCATCAATGGTTTCGGCCGGTCCAACTACAACAAACGTGGTTTCACACTTGTAGTTACTACTAAGGAGGAGCAAAAGGACCAGAAAAGTCCTTTAAACAATCAACCCCCGTTTTTAACCAGAGGAAACTCTAGCTCTAATCGTTAAAGTGGTTCTATAATTTAAAGCTGCATTTACTTTGGAGTTGTTGAGTATAGGCAGCTTGGGGTGTTTAATGTACCATACAAAAACGTCCATGTCGTCTCCAACTCGCTTTCCTATGCAAATTAGCTATTTTGCGATAGCCATGGGGAAAAGCTGGTGTAGCATGTCTTTGGCATAGAAACACTCCCTTAAATTTGCATGGCCCAACCCATTTCAATGTCAGCAATTTATAAATGTTGGGGCGGTAACGCGAACTGCAGAACTACACTAGCCTGAGATGCAACTGCTAATGTTGAATGGCATAGCTTGCTTATTGAGTTATCCGGACACACAGCTGTACAGAACCATCAGGCAAAACCAGCCAATCACCATGCAGCTAATTTAATATTCATGTCGTGGCTGAGTGAATGGGGCTAACCAGTCTTTCCATTGTAGGTCTTAACTGGGGTTGTATTTGACCATTTATCAGGCTCCTGGGCCATTTAGAGCCCCAATAAAGTTTTTGTATGCTTTATAGAGGCTCAAAGAGCAGCTAACAATTGCAAAAAGTTGATGTTCCAGAACACCTATAAGACTACAAACTCCCTCTGATCTAATAAACATGAGCATACAAGCAACTTGTTGGGCAACAAGACAGAAATGGCACAAAATATTTAGACCACCTCAAAAGTGAGAGGAAGGACCACAAGTAAAGAAACTTGAATTTTCTAAATAAAAGCATGCTAGTTTAATCAAGCAGACCTTCAAAGTACAACTGCGAACTTATACATGAACATAATACAGGCTCTATCAATGGGGAGATATTTTTAGTATAGACTATTGTTGATTTTGTACCTGGGTATATATGATCTGAACAGGAGGCTGGAAATGTGAGGGATTTATTTAAACTTCAAAATAGGGCCCTGCACGGGCCTAAAATCTGAGCCCGTGTCCGGCCCGGCCCGAGGGGGTGGAGCCCCAGCCCGACCCGGTCCGAAAAGGTTTTAAGGATTCTCTGGCCCGACCCGAGACACTTTTTTTTAACCTTTCATAATGTTTTAGCGTGATAGAATGCTCAGCATTCTAATTATCTGAGAGAAACGTTCTGCAGTAAAAAAAAAAGAAAGAAAGAAAAACAGCATCAATGCAGCTTTTTTTCTAACAGAGCGTATTTTTCGAGCGGCAGATGAAATTTACGAACGCTATATTAATTGGATGCGTTTGTAAATTTAATCTGCTCTGAAAACGCGCTCTTGTGCAATTAAAAAAAAAAGCAGCATTCTAATTTTCTAACTGGAGAGCGCATTTTCAGAGCGGCAGATTAAATAAACGCCCCCAATTAATAAAGCGTTTGTAAATTTAATCTGCCGCTCTGAAAATGCGCTCTCCAGTTAGAAATAAACCAGCAATGAATGCTGTATTTTTTTAACTGCAGAGCGAATTTATTCACAGAAAAACAGAATGCTGCCGTTTTCATCAGAATAAACGAATGGCTTCTGACATCAAAGTGGACATAAAATGGCATATTAGAACAGGGGCACATGTTTCAATCAGCAGTTTGAGAATTCGTTTATAAAGGCGCATTTATAAACCACACAGACCTTAACTGAGCTAACGGGTGCTGGAGCGTGAGAAGCAGGCAGGTGCTGCTGCGTTTAAGTGTTTCCGTTATTTTTTATGAATTCGATTAAAAATAAAGGCGCCCGGCCCGGCCCGTGTCCGAGGTAATTACACAGTAGTTGGCCCGAAGCCCGGCCCTTGGGCTGTCGGGACGAGCCGACCCGAGGGCCTAGGGCTTCAGTGCAGGGCTCTACTTCAAAATATCGTTTAATGAAGAGCTGAAGATGATTGTGAACCCCAAAACGATTTCCATTTCAGAAACAGCAATTACTCACCTCTCAGGATGTGGCGCACTATTTTAATAGATCCTCCTCTGACATTAAGAATTTGATGAACTCTCTGATGCAACTAGAAGGAAGGAAAAAATAAACTTAAATCACAATATCTTTAGTACAATTTAAATGTCGTTTTATTTAATGTACTGTTGTGTTTTTAGCATTTTTAGTGTCCGTTTTTTGTTTTTTTCCTACATGTTTTGCTAAATTATTTTCTGTGCAACTCAAACTTGAAATATAATCTATTCACTTTGTGATCTAGAGCAGGGATTCCCAAAGTGTGGTGTGCGCACCCCCAGGGGTGCGCAAGCTGCCGCTAGGGTGAAAAGTGTAATGGCTGTGGAGCTCAGAGAAGTCTGTCATACGTCACCATTAGCGTAGCCAGAAACTCATTTGTGGGTGGGCCTAAGAAAAAGTAAGTGGGCCCAATAAATGCAATTGAAAACAAGTATATTTTGCGCGCGTGCGCGTGTGTCCTCAGCATGTGCCCTAGCTTCATAATAACAATGCGCCGAGCTTCACCACTCTGGCCTGCGCACGCCAATATGTTCCGTATTTGATCATTTTTATCGATGTTGGAGAAATCTGAAGGTGGCGAGTCATTCTGGCAGATTGTAATTAACACTGTGTCTCTTGCAGGTGTTCTGACATTGTAAACCTCACACACAGAACATTATGGATGTAACTAAATAAATCAAGAAATGATTCCCATCTGAGCATTTTAGCATTATTATATTATTATATTAGCACCAGGCGCATTGCAAGCTTTTCAAAAGTGTGGGGGATGTTGTCTGTGCCTAAAATAATTTCATGTTATTCATCTTGTTAGTTTAATTTCCATAATAGCGGAGCAGGTGAGAATTTTAGATGTGTCACGCATGTCTCCGTTTTAAACATGTTTAAACTGTTCAGAGTACAAATCCAGGCTCTGTCTCGTTAGATCGGTGTAACTAATGTTTGTACTGAATGAAACTTTACATTAAACCATGTTGAAAAGAAAAGGATCTGATTAAATCGTTTCCCCCTCATTTACAGTCACGGAGTACAGCACAGTGCGCATGGCTCTGGGGTTAATCAAGTTTAGTTGTTTCTCTTTGCAACAATCTTCATAGGAAGGTAAAACAGTTAAATGGCAGGTTACAGATATTTCCATTTGACTGTTTATTTTGACGGATAAACTCAAGGATGTTGGTTGTTTTGAAAGAATTACCCCGACGCACACTGATGCACACACAGATGAGCTGACATTTTAATGGTTATGCACATCGTGGAGGTAACTAAATCAATCAAGAAATGATTCCCATCAGAACATCAGAGCTTTATACTGGACACTGTGCTCAGCACGGCTCGGAGCGCACACGGTGGACAGTGGGCTGAAGATCTGTAGAGGGGAGCGCAGCGCAGAACCACAGCGCATGCGGTAAGATTTCCTCCCACTGAAACGGTCTGGAAAGCCGGTCTCGCTGAGGGATGTGTCACTTGGAAAAATGTTCGCTGATTATGAAACTTTGGCTGAACAGCGCTTGTTCCCGTCTCTAATATGGAGACACATGACGCATCCAGTCTGAGGCAGAATAGCCTCTTCAGCTCAGAAAGCTCCTGTAGAGACATTTGATCACGCACAAAGTTTATGTGGAGCAGAAGCGGTCTGCCCACGGCAGGTGAATGTTCCTAGCCTACATGAAGTGAAACTGTTTAATTGTAACATTAATGTGTTACTGGACACGCTGGTCTGGTTGGTTAGAAGGAAGGAGAGAGCTCTGGCCACAGGTTAAACGTTCCTACTTTAAGAAAACTGTTAAATTGCATTGTTTATGTGCTACCTGGGCACTCTAAATATTTATTTAAAATTAAATCAAAGGAAATTGTAATGGTATTGAATGTTTATTAATTACTATTTAAAAAATGAAAGTGATGGGGAAAAAGGTCGATCATATTTTTTTAACCCTGTCTGTTTAGCTTGATGTCTGATATATATATATAGCCATGCCCTGATGTGGGGGCTGGGGGGTGCGTCGACATGGTCGGGACATGGAAGGGGGTGCGCGGCTAAATAAGTTTGGGAACCACTGATCTAGAGCAATATTTACATTTTTATTTATTCATAGTTTTTCAAGTTCAGATTTTGTATCATTGAATCTGACGTGTAAATGGGACAAATAACCTAAACCAACATCTTGTTGTTTGTGAATAAAGACAGCTTGGGTGGTCAAAAGTAGCATGCCAAAAAGTCTAAGCTGTGTGTGTGACCTGCTTTTTATGTAAATTAGAAAGTTTAATAATGCAAGAAAATACTTATTTTCTGAGAAATCTCTCATAAAACATCACAGTGTGGAGCCCTTCCTCCTCTAGTCTGCAGTCTCCAGTGTCTGAGGCCTTCTGGTTTAAACCAACCAATCAGCAAGCAGCTCAATAGCATATTCATGTCCTGGCCAAGTGGGAGGGGTAAATAGCTCTTTTCAGAGCAAGGCTGATTTAGGGGTCTAGAATGGCTTGTATCAGGGCTCCTGGGACAGATGAAAGCCTAAAGAAAAATTCTTGTGCTTCTTAACGATTCAAAGCAGTGTTTTAGATTGCTGATAAACTGCATTCTTTGTCCCCTTTAAAGGCACACTTGAAGGTTTAGGCTTACTTTTAGCACCCCCTAGTGTCTGTTTAGTAGAGCCAAAATGAAACTTATCTCATTGCTGTGTGTTTGTCTTTTTAACACCTTAATCTAGCTGCAGAAACGCCTCCCTAGTCTTCCTTAGTGTCTACAGGTGTGATTCATCCCTAAATTAAACCAGCTGTGTTCATGATCTTAAACATGCAGAAAATGTGCTGGAAGCAGACTGCAGCACCAGGTATGTCAGCTCTATTTATTTCCCAAGTCTAACAAGTGGCAGAACGCCACAGAGGGCGGTGGGGTCTGGGTGACATTTCATTATCTCTGTAAAGGGTCATTTAGCGCATACTGGCTCAAGAAAATGATGTAAAATATGAAAACATTGCATAGTATTCCTTTGATAAAAGCCCAACACTGGTTCTGATTGAAATAAACATTAAAACTGTATAATATGTATATGTGTATGTATAACAATTTCACCTTCTTAATGCAGATCAATGAAAGCAGGAAGTTGAGGTCAATATCAAACAAACTGGAATTTTAATGAATTATAGGAAATATTCTTTTATGTTGCTCGTTGAAAAGCACACGTTGACCTAAGCAAGTATAACATAATGCATACTTTAACACCAAAATCGGCATCCCAAGAGACCAGGTGAACCCAGATTAGCGCTGAAAGGAGTAAGCTAGTTGGGAGCAGAACCCATGAAAACCGGCTGCTCTTGCAGTTCGCTTGATAGAATGTCTTAGCAATAATTGATTGTCGAGAAAACTCATTTGAGCCAGTGTCAGTGTGTGTTTGTGTGTGTGTACCTGTGAGATCCCTGAGTTGCTGATCTCCACCATAATATAGCAGAGCAACTGAAGAACAAACAGTCCGGCATCAAGACGGCGAAGGTAGAACTCGTCTTCCATGCTGTCGTCAAGAATCTCCCCACGCCGAACCATTTCCTGCACACACACACACACACACGCACACACACTCAGAATCAACTGAACCTTAACAACATGTAAACAAAAGGTTCTAACAAGAGAAGACCTGAGGCTAAATGTAATTTACGTGTTGTTTACCAGATATTTCCACAAATCCATTTTCTGCATTGACTGGACACAAAGACAAATTGATTCCACGACTAAAATAGAAAAGCAGCAATACCAACACGTGTGTTTGCACACTTGCATAGTTATTCATCTCAACAGCCTTGTCAGTATGCCAATAACACAATGCTGCCAATAAGCACAGAGTCCACATTAATCATCATTAAAGATTAAGAGGGAGACCTAAGGGTGGTGAGCACAGAAGCTACTTCAGTAGCAGGATCATGCAGTGTTTCTGTTTTTTTTTAACAGTTTAAAAATACAAACGATAATTACTCACTAAATATATTTTCTACCAGACATAAACATGCTTTTGTGACCTGCATTCTCAACATTTTAGGCAACTAAATGTGAGCGTAAATGATTTAATCACAAACTAAATCCAATTCTGAGGTCTGGCCTAGGAACTGGTCTCGTCTGAGAAGCCAAAACGTTTCCAGGTCATTTATGTTTATGTATTTAGCAGATGCTTTTGTCCAAAGCGACTTACAATTGACAATCGGCTTGTTGCCCTTGAGGCTAACAACAACAATAACGACAACAACAACAAACAATTTCCAGTCAATCGTAGGTGGCAGTGAGGCAGCATGATGAATCATGGAGAGGAGGGAACAAGGAGTGGACAGTAGAGAGGGGGACGGGTGCAGGCAAGGTGCTAGTTAAGAAGATGCTCTCTTAAGAGCAGGGTCTTCAGGAGTTTCTTGAAAATTGAAAAGGAAGACCCTGTTCTGGTAGTGCTTGGTAGGTCATTCGACATTTGTGGAACGATGCATGAGAAGAGTCTGGATTGTCCTGAGCGTGGTGTAGGCACTGCTAGCCGACGATCTTGTGATGACCGGAGCGGCCGGGCCGAGACGTAAGCCTTTGCAAGAGGATTCAGGTAGATGGGAGCCGTACCATCTCGGACTTTGTATGCTAGTGTTAGCAATTTGAATTTGATGCGTGCTGCTAGCGGTAGCCAGTGGAGCTCAATGAACAGAGGGGTGACGTGTGCTCTTTTTGGCTGATTGAAGACCAGATGCGCCGCTGCGTTCTGGACCATTTGAAGAGGTCTCACAGTACAGCCTGGAAGACCAGTTAGAAGGGCATTGCAGTAATCGAGGCGGGAGATGACAGTAGATTGCACCAGGAGCTGGATGGCATGTTGTGTTAGGTATGGTCTGATCTTTCGTATGCTATACAGTACAAAGCGGCATGAACGAGCAACAGAGGCAACATGATATTTAAAGCTCAGGTGTTCATCAATCACAACACCCAGATTTCGAACTGCCGTTGAAGGAGCCAGAGGTAGGAAGTCATTTTGGATTGAGATATTGTGCTGTATGGATGGTTTTGCTGGGATGACAAGTAGTTCAGTTTTAGAGAGGTTGAGTTGGAGATGGTGGGATTTCATCCATTTTGACATGTCAGAGAGACAGTTTTATTTTAGTGCAGAGACAGTGTGGTCGTCCGGTGGAAATGACAGATAGAGCTGGGTGTTGTCTGCATAGCAGTGGTAGGAGAAGCCATGTGATTGAATGATCTCACCCAGTGAGGTGGTGTAGATTGCAAAGAGAAGAGGTCCTAGTACAGAGCCCTGGGGGACTCCTGTGGCAAGATGGTGCACGGTAGAGGATTGTCCAAGCCAAGATACACTGAATGATCGTCCTGTGAGGTACGATTCAAACCAGGCATGTGCTTTCTCTGTTATGCCCATGCTAGAGAGTGTGGACAAAAGGAAGCCATTTAAAGAAAAGGAAATACTTTGCATCAAGACTGCGAAACAGAAACATGTCAGAATTGGTTCATTGTATCAGAAAAACATGATATTTCAATTATTTTCCTCTAAGAAAAAACACTTAGGTTTACCAAAAATAGGGATTCATAAAAAAGGTCTTTTTAAATCAGTGCAGCAGGCCAATGACCAAAACCTTAATACTTGAGAAAACCTGGACAACTGAAATTTTTTATTACATATACCTAAGAGCATTCTTGCATCAAAGACCTAAATAGTGAGCTGCAGTAAGACTGTTGTGGATGGGTCTTCTTGCTCCTGGTTTGTAATTGCTCAGGTATGCACACGCAAAGCCAAAACCACATAGAATTAAATGGCAAATATCACCAGATTTGTCATTTTGGTCCATTAATCATTTAATCTCTAATGGCCCTTTTCCAGAACTCAGTGCGGCTTGACCTGGATTGGCTCTGCTCTACATGGTTCGGGTGGCTTGCCATTATAATTGAGAAATGGTTATAGCGGGTGGGTGGGTGAACCCCAGAATATCAAAAGTAGAGCAAGGAGATCTGTACGCGACACAAAAACACAACACAACATTGATGGACATGGTAGTAATGTGGAACTTAGATTTCACCTTTCCAGTACTTATAATGCAGCTTTGGATGTCATCCCTAAACAGTTTCAGTCTAGGTCACACATCTAATCAACACAATGACTGCCTCTCATTAGAGGCCAATGACTCATGAGGGAATGATGAGGCGGGGTACCCAGAGTAGTTTCAGCTTGTTAAATAACAAGAGACAGCTACAGCTTATAAGCTTGACTCTCATATTCCAGTTAGAATTGACAAAGCTCCTCCGATGAGAAGCGAAACATCTTCAGGAAACCACAGAAGTCCATTTGCCTTCATTTTAACCCTTTGTAGTCTCCAAAAGTAAAACTGCTTTCGGCCGCCTTTGTTTACTAACTTAAGGAGGACACCTCAGACATCTACGTGCATCTTTTTCCCTGACCACGTGCTTGAAGATTTCTGTGCTCCTGAGAAGGCAGTGAGAACAAAACCCTGCGCGGGGCCAAGCTGATGCTACCAAGATCAGACTGGACTGAGCCAGATGTGAAGATGTCATTTGAGGCAGGTGCTTAACTCATTCACTGCAATTGACGACTAAAGTCGTCAATTGAAATCCAACCGTTCACTGCGAATCCAACCGTTAAGTGAATTTGCATGTTTTTACTGTGTATGCGTCGGAACGAGCCCCCGCACCGAGAACAAATATCTCAGCTCTAAAGCCGACCTTCATCCGCATACGTCACACGTTACGTGATCAGGAAGCAAAAATCCATGTGTTGGGAGATTGTTTTGGGCCGCTGCTGTAAAAAAAAGTGAGGCGCGAACCGGAAAAGCTTCTGCCGATCACAATTCAACAATGGATTATAAAAGAACGAATAAAGCTTGAAACGTGCGGATTCTTCCTGATGTAAGAGGTGAGTCTCCGCTTTGTTTTGGTTGTTTTGGCGTCAACGTCATCCTAGCGCGCAACGTTCTGTGACTCTTAAAATAACAGTTAAATGGGTGAGAAACACTGGCAGTGAAGGGCTTTACCGATCAGGAAACGGCTGGCAGCGAATGAGTTAAAAATGGCGGCAACCTGGGAAGTGTGTTTAGTGGAGACCCCTTTGAACCGGGTTGAGTCAAGCCACATTTATTGGGAACTGATGGAAAAGGACCATAAAATACACCAAGATCAGTCTGGAACAAAGCTCCAGTTTCATTTAATTATTGGTGAAAATACAAAAGAATAAAGGGAGAAAAGTTAATAAAACCATTAAATATGGGGCATTTATCTCCTTTGTTGCCCCTGGGTGAAACACTGGCCCAGAACTCTGTTACAAAGAGGACAGTTATCACATTGTAAAACAGTCTCACAGCGTGGCCTTTTGTTGCCTAATAAAGATACACACAACTTGAACTAAAGCCATTTGAATATAAATGTGTTTCCACTCCGAACTGTTTGGGGGGGGGGGGGGGGGGGGTTACTAGCTCAGTTTCCAGGACAACGACTGGGCTCATTATTTTGTGGGGAAGAGGGAAGTTTGTGGCAAAGTCTTATTTTTGCCAGAGACACAAACTGAAGATCTAAGCTTAATTGAAAAAAAAAGATAAGACACAATACATATATGTAATCTGGGTGAGAGGGTTAGTGGAAAGAGAGGTATGCATTTTTCTGTTTCTAATAGACAGCGAGTCTATTCCGCGTTGCCCTCGTGGTTGCTGGTAGCCATCATAGTTTCACAGGACTGGGGGCATTTTCTGACTAAGACCTTGGAAAACTCAATTATCTACCTGCTTCCATTTTAGCCCTCAGCCTCTCCGCTGCAGATGGGTGGAAAATGATCCCGAACACGTGGGAAAAATAGAGCCTGCGGTCTAAGTTGGACATACCGATAAGAATATTGGTAATCCGGTTTGCAATTAGGGCAATTAGGAATCTACACAAATATTCTGGAGAAGAGTGAAAGAAAACAGGAAAATAATCTAAAATCCAAAACCAATTGTGAGAATGTTTTGTTTTGATTTTCTCTGTTATAGTTTCACTTCTTGGGTCAAAAAATTCCAATCACGAAAAGCCTGATTTCAAAAAGCTTTTCAAATCAAACATTTCATTTCAGAAAACTGACAAATTACATTTTTGTTGTCATTTTAAACTGACATGCTCTGTGCTCTGCCCGCATTGCAGGCATTTCAAATAAAAATGTACCAACCAAATTAATTGTGCTAATCTACAGCATCACTGTCCATGCTGCTTACACTGAAGTGCCGTCTGCATTAACTTTCTGCTCAAAAGGTTGAAGCAATAATCAACGGTTGATGCTGCTAAACAGTTGGTCAATGTGGGTTACCTCCAAACAGCAAATAATCAGAGCGGTTCACTGTCTGGTGGGAATTCATTTGCAGAAATAACTAGGTAAGTGCTACAAAAAGATGACAGCAGAACACAGACACACCTCCGGCAAATGGAGTCTCCATCAAAAAAGCACAAGAGTTTTATGTTATTTAGGCTTCCAAATGAACCTAAACTGAGAGAAGAGTGTAATTTGTACAAGAATGGGCAAAAACTGGCAACAAAAGGACGTG